GCCAAAGAGAAGAGTGATTTATGCTCAAATTCTGCCAGGACTTTAATCAATACTGGGTGTCATATCCTATCGGGAGGGGCAGATTGGAAGTGGTAGTGAATAAAAAAAAGGTAGCTAATATTTGTATAGGTAATTTATGTGCAACTTAAGTGAAATGTAATAGATTAAACAAAAAACAATAGCAGGTTGTGCTAATAAAATGAAGATTTTAAAATTCCCTATCAAAGGCCAAAAATTATGTGTTAAAGGAACTCTGAGGTGAAGGGAGCATGTCATGTAGTTTATTCTGTATAATGTTTGAAGTCACAAAATATCACTTGTGCAAATCAATTTTCTTGCCTCAGAGCATTAATTAAGAAACTGTAGAGTTCAGATAGCAAAGCATCTTCATAACTATGTGCGTGTTGACAATGACTATGTTATTGGAGGCTAATTCCAAGAAAAACAACAGGTTTGAAAGATTTGATGCAAATAACTCAAGAGTTTCCACTCTGTAATATAATTTGATTGAGCAATGTAAATCTTAGATCAGAATGTGCTTCTACTCATATATTAGGTTTTAAACTATAATTTTCTAGTATTTTAAAAGTAGACACATTAATTGTAGATCCAAACAAACTTTCATATTTTATGCCTTAGTCTTATAATTATGTTGTGTACTTTCTGAAATGTTATGAGACACTTAAGCTTTATAGGAATCATTAATCTACTGTAAGACAAAAACTTCAAAAGCATAGTCTCTCTTCGTTGGAAGTAATTCTTGAATTTCTCTGTGCCATGTATCATAATTATGTGTTACAAGTGAATGAATCAGTGTTTGTGTTGAAACTTTCTTTATCGATGCATATAAAAAGCAGGCAACAGGAGAAATGTTAAATAAATATAGACTGTTTCAGCTTGCTATCTTTATTCAAACCCCTGACAAGAAAAAAAAAGCCAAGAATTGGAAAAAAAACAGTACTTACCCTAAAATTTTATTCAGATGATACTACTGAAACGTAAAAGGCTTAGAAAATCTTTCAATTTTCTATGCATGAATAGTATCAACTTTAACGACAAAAGAATACTGTTTGTGAATATATGTACATGTATGTAAAACCATCTGATGAAACTAACTAGAATCTATTCAAGTTAAAAAACAAAAAGAAAAACTCCACTGATCCAGGGCTGCTTAGAGAATAAATCACGATCTGATTTGAAAGATCCTGAAACATGAAACAAAATCATCTTCTGACAATAATCAAACAAATAAGCATTTTAGATAGCATAATACAAGAGTCCCTTTGTACTACTTGAATTCACAGAAAAGTGAATTCTGACCCAACTCTACAAATAAGCAGTTGACTCATGCAAATAGTCTTGACCATGTACATAATTACTTTTCTTTTTTGTTGTTATTTAATGGTTAGCAGTTAATTAACTGACCTCTGTTGCAATAATCAAGTTCATGCAACTAATGTTTAGCTTTAAAATAAGAATTGGAGGAAGCTGATCAAGGTCAGACTTTGCTCTTTGACAACTTTTAAATATATTTCCTTACATTCTCCTTCACGTTTGGGAACTATGCTTTTCAGCTTCACTAGGTAGCAGGTGATATTCTCTCTTTCATCTCCTTGTGGTAATGACAGATGGCTTCAACATTTACTCTAATTTTCATAGATAGCATACTAATACAATAGCCTCAAGCAAATTAAATCTACTCCAAGCTTTGCTACTAACTTATTGAGCCACTCTGAGCAAGTTTATTAACCTTTCTTTTCTTTAGCATCATTTTGATTCCTAAGATTCCCTTATATTTAAATATTACTAAGATTTATATTTAGATACATGTTCTGTAAAAAGCTGAGAGTGCTAGGACTTTATATCTCACATACGTTATACATACACACATACCTGTAAATTTATAGTTTGCCTTCTTGCAGTTTCTCTTATACTCTGCGTAAATTATTCTCTTTAGTCTGTTAAGTAGCTAGAGCATAAAGAAAACTGCAGTGAAAGAAATCAATATATCTAGCTGAATGAAAACAGACCTTAATAGTAAAGGCATAAATTAGACATGAATGGAAAGTAATTTTTGGTTTTAAATTCAAGATGCAAAAACACTTAGTTATTTTTTTCAAAGTAGGGAAATAAAGCAATAACACTAATAATTACCATTACAAATAATAATGCACCTCAATGCATACAGTAATTTTGATGAGGGGAAGTTCATTATAAATTTTTTATTTCCTTAGTGGCAGAGATAGGAAAACCTATGTAAGTAGATACATGCAACTCCAAATCTTCTCAGGTAATTACTGCAATATCTGCATACATTTAAATTTCAGTAAGGTTTTTTAGTTAATATAAGATCAAAATTCAATAGCAAACTAACAAACTTCCTATATTTCACTCAGAAATAATCTGAAATAGGATTTTTAGACAACATATTTAATTGCCAAGTAATAAGGGCAGGTGATTGAAACATAATTAGAGTAGTGATGAGATGTTTTTGAAAGGATAAACAGTTTCACTGGATTTAATTTAGCTTGGTTCTGCAAGTTTAAACTCCAGAGCTGTTGTTAACCTGGGTAAGGGAAATTACAAAAAACTTTAGCTAATAACTTTAGAACTACCCTTAAACTATATGACGAGGACTTCAATTCGATTTTTAGGCAAAAACTCAGACAATAAAAATTAAGTTTTACAATGATTTAACACTAATTATAACATAGCTACTGAGGAAGTTGTCTGGAATAATTGCGTATTCCAGTGGGTATGTGCATCTAAACTGGCCATTGATTACCTAGTACAGTATGCGCCCTATGAAACACAAAGAGGATTCAGAATAGAATGGATGTTTCATTACTAAATATCAGATAAACAGTTTTACAGCAGTCATGTAAGGACTGATTTCAAATTTTACTAACATTCTTCATAACAACTCCAGAATATTTTGTTCAGGCAGTTTTAACAATAAATTTGGGACAAATGCTCTATCATTTGGATAGCCAAGGACTCCAATTATCTAAGTAAAGGACGTTCAGTGACCCCCCCTTCCCCCGCAATCTCTACTGCCACCTGTCCATACACTTGGGCACGGGCGCGCGAATACACAAGCGCGCGCGCGCGCACACACACACACACACACACACACACACACATTTAGCCAAAAATAGTCTAAATGAAGGTTGAAAACCCAAACACACACCCGTGCCTCATGTAAAGAATGGCAAATAAACACGGAAAAGAATTTCGGACCAGGTCAGTTTAAGACGTTTGTTGAGTTGGAGCAGGAATCCTTTTCGTTCTACAATCTTCCTGGCACTAACTAGCAACCATTCTTATCCAAGAAGAAAGAGCCAGCGGCTCTTTCACCCCCACTCCCTTCTCCTCCCAATTCTTTCCTCCCACTTCAGTCTCTCTACCACTGTTAGTTCAGTCTTTAAACTTATTCGGAAGGTACCGAAGTTTTTGCGCAAATTTTGCGCGCTGTTCCCACGTGCCTGCTTCAGGTTACCCACTTTCCCCGTTCGCTCTCTCTCGGGATTCTTTCTTAACTTTTCCCACTGCGCTTTCCAGAGGCGAGAAGTAGGGACAAAGCGGAACTGTGAAAGTGGGTTAAATGGCCATTTCTGCCCCGAAACTGACAAGTTGCCCCACTCCCGCCCCCTCTCGGTAGATCCTCCCCCACGGAACGTTCGTTACTATAAAACTGGTCTGACCGGAGACGGCCCGGAGGCCTCCCGAGTGCCCGCGCTTTGCCTGGCTGGGAGAGCCAGGGCAGACAATTCAGGACCGCAGAGCATCCCGGTGCAAAGCGTGCACCTGCTCGGTGCGTGAGCCAACCTTAAAAGGAAAAAAGAAGGGAAGAAAAAAACAAATGGAAAAACAAAACAAAACCAAACCGCACTTTGGGAGGAGTGCGAAGTGAACGTCAGAGAGGAAGTGAGGGAGAACTCGTCAGTATTGTGGTCTTCCTTTTCTAGCTCTCCAGTTGGGCTTCCCAGAGGCCAGGACACCCAAGTCCTCTCCCCTCACAGGCTGGTGCCCTCGCATCTGTCCCGGGACAAACGCACCCCTTTATTTCCTTTGCACGCTCACACGCGGATACACGCACACATGCGCGCACACACAGACCCCTCCCCTCGACCGGCTCCCGGGGGACTTCGGGGGTGAACTCCTGCTCGTGCCCCGGGATTGCCCCGGGCCTCTGGGCTGCGTGTGTAGCCCCCCTCCTGACCTCAAAGTGCCCTCCTCGGCCGCCAGCCCGCTCCTTCGGCTTCCTAGCTGGCCCCTCACCCGGAGCGCGTGTCCCCGCTCCACGAACCCTGGCGGGACAAGGCAGGGTCACCACCGACCCCCTCCCCCCTGCCCTCAGGAGGCGCCCGGAGGCTCGCGGTGGAGCGGGGAACCTGGGGAGCGCACACGCCCAGAGAGGTTTCCAGGTGCCGGCGCCCCGAGAAAGGGTTGTGGCTCGGAGGAGAGGCACCGTCCCCCTCCTTCCTACCCCTTAACCCCGAAGCCCGGGCTTCCCAAGTCCCACAGCAGCCAAGCCCAGGGGCCGGAGCGAGCAAGGGGCGGACCCGGCCAGCAGAGCTGGATGTGGGCAGAGTGAGGTGCCAACTTCCCTGGGCTCGGGCGCGGCTGGCGAGCCCAGGGGAGGAGAGGAGCGGGGAGAGGGGAGGAGAGGTGAGGAGAGGAG